GAATGAAGCTTGTAATTGGTTTGATTCTCTTTGGCAACAAATGATGAAGACATTCCTTGCATTGTAGAATTAAGCTTCAGGAATATATTTTAAGTTTGTTTGATCATCATCAATCTTTTACTATGACAAAGTGATAAAATTTACATGGTGCTATATCTCAGACGCGCGCTCATGATTTGTACAATGTCTATCAGACGCAGTTATTCCATGTTTTAAGTTTTGTTGTATTAAGCTCTTAATCAAAATTATAGGTTGTCAGCCACCTATGTCATATTAACATTCTCCTGTGTCTATTTCACATTTGAAAGGGATGTACAAATCCTGTTGTATCTCCAAATAGAAAGTTTAAAACACCGGATGTCTAATATTATTTTTTGTAATATAGTTGTTAGAAGTATGATTTAATTACATTAAATAGGGAGATATTATATGATTTTATAGCGAATTATTTTAAGGAATATTCCTAATATTTAATTTTATTTTGTTCCGTATTATTTTATCTCTTTTTTATTATAAATACGAGTACTCATGTGTTTAAGCAACACATTGAATTGATTATATTGGTTTCTCTATTCTCGACATGGTGTTGTACTGTATTTCCTAACTTGTTTTGTCGCTAATTCTTTTAACATGGTATCAAGATGCCAAAGAGAAAGGAACCTGAATCCATGCTTTCCCTGTGAGAATTCTGTACAAACCGTTCACATTGGATATTCTATTTAATGTACATTTTTTTCGGCCAATATTGTTTACCACTGATGTTTTTCAGCTAGGACTGTTTACTGCTAATGTTTTTCCAACAACTACTATTTATTACTGCTGATGTTTTCCTACAAGTGCAGTTTACTCTTGGGCCCTCTAACCCTTTTTAATGAGCTTGACTCATGATACATATGTTCTAGCTTGAGGGGCATGGTTAAAATTATGATTTGAAAGGACGAAACACATTAAAGATTGATTGTCACTTTGATATGAAGAAAGTCAGGTCCAAGGAACTTGTATGTACACAACACATGGAATTCATTATCTTTCTTTTTGGTTTCTCTTTTGTCATCGACTGTGACTTGTTTTTTCAATACTCCTTTCAATAATGACAATTATAAGACATGGCTATAGATTTTGAAGATTTATAAGCCTCTCATTGCAATTTGGTCTTCTATCCATGATACTGAACATGACCAGAATTATAGTAAAAGTGTTAAAGGTGAAAAATAAATATTTTCTAAATATGTTTGAGTGATTATTGCACCCAGCAGAATGATATTATTTATATACAAGAGAATTAGAAAGAGGATGATTAATGCAATAAAAAAAGAAAGAAAAATTAAGATACCACCACTTTCTATGATGCATTGAACCTAGCTCTACCAATTACCAAGGCAACTTGGAAAAATAAACATTAAAGGAGTTCTTAGTCTTATTTCCGACACTCTACCTCTAGCTGAAGAGCAAATGATTTCATTCCGAGTATGAATACAATTCTTTCAAAAGCTGAACTGCTTAATCCTATGGCAGAATATTTATGAGTTGATTTTGTGACCTATAGAAGTTGGTTTTCTAACCATTGTTTTTTTGTGGAGCTTGATTTTTTTTTTAAATAGCAGGAAGTAACTTATTTTCTTGTAACAAGCTAAAGCTTAATAAGTTTCATCTTGATGTGGAGTGATTGAAATATATGGAATATCTGAAGATATTATCTAATAATATTAGAGTATGTTGGATGATATAGTAAGGAATATACAAAGATATTACCTTGTAATATTTTAGAGTATCTTAAATGATGTCTTAAGATTTATTCTTCTTTTATATTTTGATTTACGTCCTTATTTAATAGGGTCTTTATGAATAGGAATGTCTTATAGGAACTCAATTTTCGAGAACATGAGTTATAGGCATATCATATCATGTATATAGGAATAAAATGTCCTATAATAATTTTGTATATTTTGTAATTAACTTACATTAAACGGACTCTGTTTTGCAGTTCACACAGTTTTTATTATCTTTTACATTTTATTTTTCTCCTTGTAACATTTACTATTGATTTGATATTGCAGGAATTGCATTTATTCCTTGAGCACAACAATGTCTGCCTTATCAGCTGCTTCTGACGTAACAGCTGAAGGATTCACTCTGTTAACATTTTTGGATGAGGTCTATATGATCTATAAGGTTATATCTTTTCTCTCTATTTAAGTCTAATGATATTTATTTTGTCGTATAGGTACGTGGATAAATTTGTTTTCAGAGTGGTATTAAATATTTCTTATGTATTGCTTAGTATTTTTCAAGTGATAAGAGAGCACTATTCTTTATTAAAGCAGTTAATGTTGGTGTTAATATTTTATTTTGATTTCTATTAAGATAAATTTAGGACAATGGAGATGTTGAGATATATAGGATAAATGTAAAATACCTGTAAAACATTTATTTATTTACTTCTTATTTAGTTGTGGGAAAGAGATTTTTTATGTCTGTAATGATATTCATTGAAAGTTATTGTATATTTCACTGTTTATGTTTTTGTATTGTAAGATTTTAAGACTTTGTTAGGACACAACCTCCTATATTGAAAGTCCATAAAGGAAGAAACAAGGGAAAAAAAAATCAGCTTTTTGTTTTAATTCAAACAGCAGTGAAATCTCTTAGTTAAGTTTTTGTTGTGTTGGGAAACTTTTATAAATATAGGTGTGTTTTCAGGTTTGGGGGGGAGGGAGAAAATTAGTTGATTAGTGGGAGGTTCCTGGATCCTTTAAGTGCCAAGCGTGTGTCTTTAAAGGAATTTTTGAAACTTCTTTACGCAATTCTCAGTTCCTTTGTTTGAGTTTCCTTTCCTTTTTTTGAGTTTCTAATCCAGTTTTTATAAACTGGTATCAGAGCTCGATTGGGGCTCTGTCAGTTAATACACATGGTGACTACTAGAATGATGGAATCAAGTGTGGAGACTTTGGAGAAAACCTTAGCCACAGGGATTCAGCTACAGGAAGGTTTTGAAGAAAGATTGCTTTCAAGATTATCCCTAAGGGATGTAGATTTGAAAGCCAGATTCTTACAACAAGATTCTCGCATAGGTTGGTTACAGAGGCTTGTGGAAAGATTTGTGCAAGAGGGAGGAGGGAAGAATGCAAGTGCGGAAAATACTGTGAACCAGAGGGTCTCAACTGTGTTTGCACAAGAGGAGTCAGTGGGTGAAGAGTTTTGTGGAATTTAGAGATGTGATAAGTGGACGACATTGGATATTCCAGTTTTCGAGGGAGAATATGCTACTAGGTGGATAGGTAAAGTGGAAAGATATTTTCGACCGAGAGGTGTGCAAGAAGAGGGGAAAATGGAAGCTGTTATGGTGGCAATAGAAGGAATTGCCTTATCTTGGTTGCAGTGGTGGGAAATGTGCAATCCAAACCAATCTTGGGTTGTTTTCATGAACGCAATCAGTTTTGGTGGCAGAGCCTTTGGAATCGTTGTTGGCTCTGAAGCAGGAGAACTCTGTGAGTGAATTCATCATTCAATTTGAAAGGTTTGCTGGAGTTATTAAGGGATTGGAACAGCAGTATTTGATGAAGATTTTTTCTAATGGGCTGTGGGAAGAGATCAGAGCAGAATTGAAATTGTATAAAATAACAAATCTTTCGGAAATAATGAATGAAGCCCATGCTATTGAAAGGAAAAATTATAGACTCAGGAGGGGACATGAATTTCCCTATTCAAAGAGGAACAAAGGAATTGATAACAGCATCTCCAAGATTAATGATAGCAGCTAATAAAGCACCACCCACAGATCATCGGCAGAAGCAAATTCTTTTTCTCAATCTGTTACCAGCAAGAGAAATAATGAGGAAAAGGCTAAAAATGATGGCCACAGCAAGGACAACTTTAAAAGGTTGACACAAGCAGAGCTCCAAGAAAAAATCAGAAAAGGAGAATGTTTTTGCTGTGATGAAAAATATAATGTGAATCAGGTTTGCAAGAACAAACAACTCAATGTGATGATGTTAATTGATGGGCAAGCGGAAGGAGAGCACGAAAATGGAGGAAGTTTCTATAATGGTTGAAATTTTCCAAGTTCAATCTTGAAGACAAGGTGAATCTTTATGGGCCGGGTATTGTTAGGACACAACCTCCTATTATGAAAGTCCTTAAAAGAAAAAACAAGGGAAATGGAAAATGCAGCTATTTGTTTTAATTCAAACGGCTGTGAAATCTTTAGTTGTTATCATTGTAGTTAGAATCGTACTATTCGAATCGAAATTCATTGAAAAAATTCTCCCCCAGCAATACATATCGTTTAATGAATCGTATTGTAACCTGAATCATAGTATGAATCTCTGAATCAGATGTGAATAGTGTGATTTGTGATTTGGTTTTCGTTACATATGATTCATGATGAAGGAACAAAAACTGAAAAAATAAGACAGAAAGACAGGAAAAGAAACTCAACGAAGATGAAAGTTCAGTGGAAAAGATAAACAGCAAGAAAATAAATAGTGGAAAATCAAATAATAGAACAGCAGAAGACACAGTAAAAAGTAATTTGGAGAAGATGAATAGTGAGAAGGGAGAAGATGAAATCAGGAGAAGATGGGAGAGGATGAACAGAAAAGGGAGAGGAAATCAACCTATTAGAAGTTTAACCCATGAACAGTGAGAAGATGAGCGTCTGAGAAAGTGTTAATATATAATGGTTCTTATATTGTTTTAGTTATTGTTTACTATTTTCTTTTATAAAATTTTTTCAATTTAAATTAGTATATATTTATTCTTATATTTTTTATACTACATTAGTCGATATTTAAGGATTTTTTTATTAAATTTATTTGAAAAGGAAATAAATTTGAATTTATATGCAATTTTTGTTATATTCTTTATTTTTCTATAAATAATAGTGATTGTTTAAGGGTTTTGTTTATTTTATCTTTTAAGTTATACGAGTTATGTACCTTAAGATTCAAAATAAGATTTGATTTGTGATNATACAAGAGAATTAGAAAGAGGATGATTAATGCAATAAAAAAAGAAAGAAAAATTAAGATACCACCACTTTCTATGATGCATTGAACCTAGCTCTACCAATTACCAAGGCAACTTGGAAAAATAAACATTAAAGGAGTTCTTAGTCTTATTTCCGACACTCTACCTCTAGCTGAAGAGCAAATGATTTCATTCCGAGTATGAATACAATTCTTTCAAAAGCTGAACTGCTTAATCCTATGGCAGAATATTTATGAGTTGATTTTGTGACCTATAGAAGTTGGTTTTCTAACCATTGTTTTTTTGTGGAGCTTGATTTTTTTTTTAAATAGCAGGAAGTAACTTATTTTCTTGTAACAAGCTAAAGCTTAATAAGTTTCATCTTGATGTGGAGTGATTGAAATATATGGAATATCTGAAGATATTATCTAATAATATTAGAGTATGTTGGATGATATAGTAAGGAATATACAAAGATATTACCTTGTAATATTTTAGAGTATCTTAAATGATGTCTTAAGATTTATTCTTCTTTTATATTTTGATTTACGTCCTTATTTAATAGGGTCTTTATGAATAGGAATGTCTTATAGGAACTCAATTTTCGAGAACATGAGTTATAGGCATATCATATCATGTATATAGGAATAAAATGTCCTATAATAATTTTGTATATTTTGTAATTAACTTACATTAAACGGACTCTGTTTTGCAGTTCACACAGTTTTTATTATCTTTTACATTTTATTTTTCTCCTTGTAACATTTACTATTGATTTGATATTGCAGGAATTGCATTTATTCCTTGAGCACAACAATGTCTGCCTTATCAGCTGCTTCTGACGTAACAGCTGAAGGATTCACTCTGTTAACATTTTTGGATGAGGTCTATATGATCTATAAGGTTATATCTTTTCTCTCTATTTAAGTCTAATGATATTTATTTTGTCGTATAGGTACGTGGATAAATTTGTTTTCAGAGTGGTATTAAATATTTCTTATGTATTGCTTAGTATTTTTCAAGTGATAAGAGAGCACTATTCTTTATTAAAGCAGTTAATGTTGGTGTTAATATTTTATTTTGATTTCTATTAAGATAAATTTAGGACAATGGAGATGTTGAGATATATAGGATAAATGTAAAATACCTGTAAAACATTTATTTATTTACTTCTTATTTAGTTGTGGGAAAGAGATTTTTTATGTCTGTAATGATATTCATTGAAAGTTATTGTATATTTCACTGTTTATGTTTTTGTATTGTAAGATTTTAAGACTTTGTTAGGACACAACCTCCTATATTGAAAGTCCATAAAGGAAGAAACAAGGGAAAAAAAAATCAGCTTTTTGTTTTAATTCAAACAGCAGTGAAATCTCTTAGTTAAGTTTTTGTTGTGTTGGGAAACTTTTATAAATATAGGTGTGTTTTCAGGTTTGGGGGGGAGGGAGAAAATTAGTTGATTAGTGGGAGGTTCCTGGATCCTTTAAGTGCCAAGCGTGTGTCTTTAAAGGAATTTTTGAAACTTCTTTACGCAATTCTCAGTTCCTTTGTTTGAGTTTCCTTTCCTTTTTTTGAGTTTCTAATCCAGTTTTTATAAACTGGTATCAGAGCTCGATTGGGGCTCTGTCAGTTAATACAAATGGTGACTACTAGAATGATGGAATCAAGTGTGGAGACTTTGGAGAAAACCTTAGCCACAGGGATTCAGCTACAGGAAGGTTTTGAAGAAAGATTGCTTTCAAGATTATCCCTAAGGGATGTAGATTTGAAAGCCAGATTCTTACAACAAGATTCTCGCATAGGTTGGTTACAGAGGCTTGTGGAAAGATTTGTGCAAGAGGGAGGAGGGAAGAATGCAAGTGCGGAAAATACTGTGAACCAGAGGGTCTCAAATGTGTTTGCACAAGAGGAGTCAGTGGGTGAAGAGTTTTGTGGAATTTAAAGATGTGATAAGTGGACGACATTGGATATTCCAGTTTTCGAGGGAGAATATGCTACTAGGTGGATAGGTAAAGTGGAAAGATATTTTCGACCGAGAGGTGTGCAAGAAGAGGGGAAAATGGAAGCTGTTATGGTGGCAATAGAAGGAATTGCCTTATCTTGGTTGCAGTGGTGGGAAATGTGCAATCCAAACCAATCTTGGGTTGTTTTCATGAACGCAATCAGTTTTGGTGGCAGAGCCTTTGGAATCGTTGTTGGCTCTGAAGCAGGAGAACTCTGTGAGTGAATTCATCATTCAATTTGAAAGGTTTGCTGGAGTTATTAAGGGATTGGAACAGCAGTATTTGATGAAGATTTTTTCTAATGGGCTGTGGGAAGAGATCAGAGCAGAATTGAAATTGTATAAAATAACAAATCTTTCGGAAATAATGAATGAAGCCCATGCTATTGAAAGGAAAAATTATAGACTCAGGAGGGGACATGAATTTCCCTATTCAAAGAGGAACAAAGGAATTGATAACAGCATCTCCAAGATTAATGATAGCAGCTAATAAAGCACCACCCACAGATCATCGGCAGAAGCAAATTCTTTTTCTCAATCTGTTACCAGCAAGAGAAATAATGAGGAAAAGGCTAAAAATGATGGCCACAGCAAGGACAACTTTAAAAGGTTGACACAAGCAGAGCTCCAAGAAAAAATCAGAAAAGGAGAATGTTTTTGCTGTGATGAAAAATATAATGTGAATCAGGTTTGCAAGAACAAACAACTCAATGTGATGATGTTAATTGATGGGCAAGCGGAAGGAGAGCACGAAAATGGAGGAAGTTTCTATAATGGTTGAAATTTTCCAAGTTCAATCTTGAAGACAAGGTGAATCTTTATGGGCCGGGTATTGTTAGGACACAACCTCCTATTATGAAAGTCCTTAAAAGAAAAAACAAGGGAAATGGAAAATGCAGCTATTTGTTTTAATTCAAACGGCTGTGAAATCTTTAGTTGTTATCATTGTAGTTAGAATCGTACTATTCGAATCGAAATTCATTGAAAAAATTCTCCCCCAGCAATACATATCGTTTAATGAATCATATTGTAACCTGAATCATAGTATGAATCTCTGAATCAGATGTGAATAGTGTGATTTGTGATTTGGTTTTCGTTACATATGATTCATGATGAAGGAACAAAAACTGAAAAAATAAGACAGAAAGACAGGAAAAGAAACTCAACGAAGATGAAAGTTCAGTGGAAAAGATAAACAGCAAGAAAATAAATAGTGGAAAATCAAATAATAGAACAGCAGAAGACACAGTAAAAAGTAATTTGGAGAAGATGAATAGTGAGAAGGGAGAAGATGAAATCAGGAGAAGATGGGAGAGGATGAACAGAAAAGGGAGAGGAAATCAACCTATTAGAAGTTTAACCCATGAACAGTGAGAAGATGAGCGTCTGAGAAAGTGTTAATATATAATGGTTCTTATATTGTTTTAGTTATTGTTTACTATTTTCTTTTATAAAATTTTTTCAATTTAAATTAGTATATATTTATTCTTATATTTTTTATACTACATTAGTCGATATTTAAGGATTTTTTTATTAAATTTATTTGAAAAGGAAATAAATTTGAATTTATATGCAATTTTTGTTATATTCTTTATTTTTCTATAAATAATAGTGATTGTTTAAGGGTTTTGTTTATTTTATCTTTTAAGTTATACGAGTTATGTACCTTAAGATTCAAAATAAGATTTGATTTGTGATTCAAATTCATGTAAAACAATTCACCGTTTGAATCTCGATTCAATAACCATGGTTGTTATGTTGGGAAACTTGTATAAATATAGGTGTGTTTTCAAGTTTGGGGAGGAGGGAGAAAATTAGTTGATTAGCGGGAGGTTCCTGGACCCTTGAAGTGCCAAGGGGTGTCTGTAAAGGAATTTCTGAAACTTCTTTACGCAATTCTCAATTCCTTTGTTTGAGTTTCCTTTCCTTTTTTTTTTTTTTAGTTTCTGATCCAGTTTATATAAGACTTTTGTCTCAAAGCCAGTCTCGTTTTGCTCCCCAACATTCTACACTATTTTAACTGGTTGGATGCAGTATCTGCCTGATGGTAGGCCAACAATTAAGAGAGTCTGTTAAATCCTGGCTAGTTGAATGTCGCCAAAGGTTAGTTAGTGGTTTTGGAAACATGTTTAGATTAGTGTGATGGTTTATAGGTTCATTAGTTGCTATGTAGTTTCGTGATACATTTCTGTTTTATATTTGTCATTGTTTATTTCAGTACATTCTATATAAATATGATATCAGTTCAGTGTTTTGAAGCTTTGATACTGAAAAGTTCTCCCAAAGGATTACTTTTCTTTTGCTAGTCTAAGTTATAATATGGTATCAAGAGCCTACTTGTTTGTTCTCTTTGCTCTGCGCTTTCCTTTCTGTCTGTGGCTGTCCATATGAGACTTATCATGCACATGCTCTTTAATGAAGGTTGGGTGTGAATTAGAAGAATGTGAAATTGGAAGTGATACCTTTTTTTAATAGACATGAGAGTACTGAGGCATCACTGTGTTGTTTGCCATCCCAAATGTGTTGGTACCACTAAGAACATCAATTATATGCAACACCTCAACATATCATTAACGAAAGAAGCAATTACACAAAATAGTGGGGGGGAACCTGGCCCACTAATCCCTAACCCTATGAAAGGGTAAATCAATCTATTCCTGAAAAACTTTGGACAAATAAAGCTAGGAGCATTATGCCACCAAGTGTAATCTTGTGATCAAGTACCAAACTTAGCATATTTAACGGCACATTGATTACCCTCTCTAAAAGTGTGCAAAATACGAGTGCATATAGTATTACTTTTACAAAACAATTCAACCATCTATTACAAAGATCCCAAGGAATGATTGAAGTGTAGGATCGATCTTGAAAAACAAGTTGGGAGTCACACTCAATCCAAAGATTAGTCCATCCTTTGGAGATTGCAAGGAGAACCTTTAGCCTCCCCATCAATATTACCTTTAAATCCAATGAAAAGGAGGAGGAAGCCAAAAAACAGGAACATAGGACATAATCTTCCTAGGATGTATGTCTACACCAAAACTTTTAAGAATAATGAGTTCTTGCCTTTGGACATTTTACAATGAGTATAACAATTCCCAGCCCAATTGACCTCAACACAAAGCATGTTTTGAATTCTCTCATTGGATAAATAATGATTATCAAAACAAATCTCATTCCTAGTTGTTCATATAGCTTTCATTACACCAAATAAAGAAGTATGTGTAACAGTCTCAGCTTAAATGCTCCAAGATATTTGCAAGAAACAAATAATGGAAGAGCCAGAATCAGCAGCAATGTGGCATTGGAAAGATTTGCTAAGCTAGACCAGAGACGTTTCGCAAAGTTTCATCCAAAAAACAAGTGTTGCGTAGGTTGAGTAAAACGAAAATTATATGCAGTTGTAAGACTGAGTGCCTTGACAGAACCATTCCATCTATAAGCCCATCCTCTATCGTAAACTGAAATCAGACTAAACCAGAAATTGCAGCAGTGAGAACAAGATGTTTAGAACTATTAACATAGTGTTCAGACCTCAATCCATTTGATATAAAAGTATGCTACCTTAGCCTTCAATTTGCTGTGTTAGTGATCTGTTTGGAAGTTGCCTACGATGATGGCTAGGCATAAGGGGCACATACTTTGGAGGCTGGGTACTCAATTGCTCAGCAGTGAGGGGCCAAGAACAGTTGAAAATAGGCTCCTAGGTGGGGAATAACGATGTAAACTTGAATGAATATTAAAATCATGCAAGACATTATATTTATAGGCTAAGCAATATGCTCACTTTCCTTAAGCAAGACAGTTTTTTAATTGCTAACTAAGAATCAGCTGTTCTTTTCAATAATTATGGTACAGTTAGTGCAGGACTGTGACAAAAGTGGTGTTTTTTCTTCAAAAATACATGGTTATTTTGCTTTCCTTTTACTTTCTTCAATAGAAAAGTTAATAATTGCAATCCTACATTATGTACATTAGCAAATCATGACTCAAGGATATTTTTCTCTATTGACAGGCTGTGACAGGTTTGTCTGCTGTGGTATGTTATCTGTTTAGTAGTAGCTCTGGTGATACTGGTTTCGTGTATCCTGAAATTATGAAACAAGAATCATTGTTTGCAGCACCTGATAGAAGTGAGACAACTACCACAAGGGCTTTATTGACAAATAATGTCTGCCCTTTTTTTATTGATGTGACTTGCAGATTCAAGTCTATGGAGATTGTTCTTCATAATTCTAGGACAAGTGATGGTTTAGAGAGTTTTGCCACTATTTTTCACTCTTTAACTGGCAACAAAATGGCTGTGCATAAGTTGCCTGAGCATGGAATTTGGATGTTGGTTCAAAACACAACTGTTGTAATATCTTGCGAAGAAGGGAAAATGGATCTCCTGACTGATTTATCAGGAATCCTTTCTTTCGTTTTTGAATATCAGAGTTCAATTGGAACCAACATAGATCATATTGTTCCTGAAAGTTTACTGCTGCAGTCTATTAATTGCTTACATGAAGTATCTCTTTCTGGTTTCTCGTTTACTTTGAGCTTGGGTCTTGTTCAAAATGCTCTATCTTCAGGTAATGCAGGAAAAACATTTGGTAGTTCTAATGGAAATTCTTCTTACTTTGTACGTGAAACTAATTTGACAGCCTTTGAAAGGTCAAGTAATCTATCTCCCCAATCAATTCTCAAAATGGGGTCTCCATCAAATACCTGTGTGCCAGCTTCAACAAATCACTGGTTACTAATAGATGTTGCAGTAACTAGTATATTCATAGGGAGATGCTCACTGAAAAGTGAACTGATTCAAGCACATAAACTGAACAAGCTTTTGTCTTTGCTTTCAATTGGAGGAGAATTTCATATTATATCCTGGGAGATTCAGGTAATTATTTAAGGAGCTAGAAAGGGAAATGTAATCTTGAAGGCATGTTCCTGCATCTTTTATTTGCGCTTTCTGTTATAAATTGAATGGCAAGGACTTTATCTTTTTTACAGATGAAGCTATTTTCTTTGTCAGGATTTAAGGCATACAACTTGTCATACTAAAATTTTAATGTTATTCAACAGGGTGGATTCTTTTTGCTTGAAACAACATCTTTACCAATGGCCATTGATAGCTATTCTTCATATCTTTGTTATATTGGGAATCTCACTTCTGATGCAAAGCTACCTAAAACTGGCACCAAGTGGGAACAGAATGTCAGAGAGAACTATACTTCACATGATGTTATTGATCGAGGAGCTATTAGCACTTCTCAACAAGCTGCAAGTAGATTGCCAGAAGCATGTGACTTTTCTTTGTCTCACTTTACTTTTGTTTTAGCACATGAAAATGAATCTGGTACATAACCTCTTCTCTAGTTTTGTTGTGTAACTGTATTTTTCTTTCCCAAATATAATACAATTCAGTGCTGCAGGTTGTATCCAAGAAATTGTAGTAGAGGTTGACATCCATATGAATTTTGCTTTGGCAATTACTGGGATGAAATTAACAATTGACCTTTCTCGTTTATCAATTCTATCTCAAACTATTCAGAGGAGAGTGGAAGATGAAGCAGCAATTCCACATTTTTCTTCTGTCACATCAAAAGATTTGACACCTCTGCATGCTTCCGGAAATCCTCTTTCAGGATTTCAGAATTTTGGTCAATTGAACTCAATTAGTGATGCAAGTTGTTCAAAAAACACTCTTCCTATTCAGGTTATTAGTCATCAGAACCAAATTTTGAAAAACTTAAGAGCTTTCCTGTCGCTGGAGAGGCCAGATAATGGTGTTATGCTTTTTTCCCGGTGTTGGTTTGGCATTGGTTCTCTTTTAGGTTTTGATATCACACTTTCTATAGCTGAAATTCAGGTGAACTTTCTAATTATTCTTTATTTTTATTAAATATTCAGTTCATTGTCCCTGCTGCTTTGTTTTTCAATCAAATTTAGCGGCCTTTTGTCATTGCTGCATGTACTGATACTAATGTTACATTTGTTCTAACTTATATTTTGTCATGACAATATGGCAGACAATTATGTCAATGTCCTCCTCACTCTCTGAGATATCTAGTCAGAATACAATAAAAAAATTGGAGAAAAATGATTGGTCTTCTAGCCATGAAGTTGACAATTGTTTGGAAGCAATGATTCCTGATGGTACTCAGGCTCAGCTATATGTTATCTGTTTATAGTCTTTCGTGAAATTTCAATTGTAATTAGCAATGATTGTGTGTAGGGGCAATTGTTGCTATCCAGGATGTCAACCAACACATGTATTTTACAGTTGAAGGTGAAGAAAAGACTTTCAGAGTAGGTGGTGTCATTCATTATTCTCTGGTAGGAGAAAGGGCTCTTTTCAGGGTAAGAATTATGTTTAAAATATCTTTCTATTTTCTTTTAATTCATTTTTCAATCTTCTGTTCTATCTCTTAGTTGCTATAAATTTTGCAGATCTTCCTATTTCAATTATAATAATATATTATAATTTTGCCATCTCAAAATTTAAAAAGAATAATATATTTCTTTCTATATTTCAATAATGAGGTCATTGGACCTATATATACGTGAGCCTGGTGTTTATTTTCGTAAATATAGAGTTAATTTTAAGGAAGCAAATCTCTGTAATTATGGGATTGTTTTTAAATACATAATCCTAGTTTTAATAGCAAGATACACTTGTAATAAAGATTTAAAATATGGCAAGGATAAAATAGCAAGTTAAATACTAAGATTTTGTCAATGTTTCTGTTGTTGCTAGTTGACTTACGTACTCCCCTATTTTGTTGGGGTCCTTGGATTCTAACATATACAAACTCTGCTCTTTAGCAATTAAAATGATCTTCCTTGTGATAAAGTCCTGAAAGACATGGTAAGAGAAGAAAAACACTAGTAAAAGTTCAAGTCTTTTGTAAGGATTTGTATAGAGATAAGACTATTGGTCAGTGTTGGGACATATAAAACACCCTTTAATTTAATAAATGATTCTAACATTATATTCCTGATTCACCATATGTATGCTATCACCATTTACAAATGTAATGAGTTGTTTTCTATTTGTTTTAATGTATGAATTGAAAAAATAGGAAACAATCATTTGATGAATGGTTCTTGAATCAACTATCCAAACACCCTAAGATACTTGCCCAACTGTATTGAATGAATTCTTATCTTTGATGGACTTAATTGTTCATTTATTGTTTTCAAACGATCAAGCTCCTACTTATAGGGTCTCGTTTCAAGTTTTCGTGGAGGTAGAATAGTGGGTTGATTTGTTTTTCATGCTCTAAGGTAGTATTGCTTGTCCGTTTTTGTTATGTTCCTTTGTTTCCTTCTATTCACTCCAATAACACCAGACATGGTTTTGGAAGGTTAAGTTTATTACAATCTTAAAAAAAATAAAGGAGATCATATATTGTTCATTTAATAGTCAACATCAACAGGAGTGAAAATGCTGTGTATGTAGAATTGTTCTAAATTTTATGATGCCTTTTTTCAAATTGAAAATAGAATTGACCATATTTTTACCTTATTTTGGTTGGAAATCTATTAACTTCGTCAAGCTTTTCTTGTGATAAAACATTCCTCAAATTAAATTGTTCTAATTCCAAGCAATAAACGTTGAGGATTACAAAACAAATTAGGCTTGGTTGGCTGGCTGGCATGCTATGAATTTGACAGGACAAGGTAGCATTTTCAGCTCGCCCTGCCTAACCCATTTACATATTTAAAATTTTTTTATATTATATGTAGAATATTAAAATTGACTTTCAAAAATCAAATAAAAAAAAGACTAATTTACGATTACAATTTTGTGTGTTGCCTGAAGGATGCAAACAAGCAATGACATTTAATTTAAATCATGAACACTTTTAAATTAAGTTTCAGTATTGATTATAATCGAGTTATTTGACTAGTAAAAGCAACCATCCTTTCAATTCATCCAATTAGAGATAGTAATTAACTAGTTAAAGATTCAAAAAATATTCACCATGTTAAAATGATTAGTAAGAAACAAGTCAAAAGGGGCACTACCGTGGTACCATGTTGACAAGAGAGAAAACGAGAAGAAATATAATGAATTTCATGGGTGGTACACATGAAAATTCTTAATTTGATGAAAAAGAAATGACAAGGAACAAAATCACTATGTTATGATGGAAAATATATTTTAAAATATTTCCCAATCAAATTGAGTCAATACACAAATAGGTCCCTGAAAGATGAGTGTGTCGGTTGATAGATCCCTAATTAAAATTTTCATGTAAATGAGTTATTGAAAAATTCATTTGCCTGCATTGAACTAGAACATTAATGTGGTTCAATTTCAAGTAGGTGTTTTTTGAAATAATCTATTTTCATCGAGAGGATGCAGTTGGAAAACAAACTCTAAATAATGAATGCTTCCACTCTTGCTTGTGAACTACAATGTAGGTTGTTATAAGAAAGTGAGTTTAAGTTTAACTCATCCTTGTAAAGGATGACTTGTAAGGCGAGGTTTGCCTCACATGTACACTATTAATTGGTTTATTTGTAATTGATATGAGATCTCCAACACATCCTCTGTCACGTCGAGGCATGGACATCTTGTATGTGTGACTAGATATTTGTGGGTAGTTCGATAGTAGGTAGTACGATATGCCTAAGAAATTTTGCTAGGATAGATTCCAATATAGTGTAGTAAGTATCGTATGACTCAAGATACAAATTAAACAATACGAATAGTAAGGTGTATCATTTTTGCTTCCGAATCATACTCGAATTGTACTATACAAGTGTGAATCGAATGAATCTTGATTTGAGATACGGATCTACCCTCAATGTGAAACCCTAATTTTTTTTGCTTTTTTTTTGTGCCTTGAAACTTTTTAATGTTGGTCTCTGTTCGCGGTGCCTCTTGCTACCTCGCGGTGTAGTCCTTCCCAGGGACGAAGGAGAAGAAGCTAACAGACCTTGTGGCGGCGACTCAAAGCAATGGCGATTCTTTGGGTCTCAAGGCATCAACGTGGCTGCCATGACCTGACCTTTTGCGTTTGTGGTTAAAGAGAGACAAGCTAGGGTGTCTGAGTGGGTTGAAAATAGAGATGTTTTTAACCTAAAAGTTTAGCCCATTTAAAGCTATCAAAAGCCAATTACTAAAGTAACTCTCTAAAATTGTAGCACACCCAAAAGGAAAAAAGGTGATTATCAAAACCGTCATTGCACACAAAAAAGTTATTCTTTTGGAGTCAAATATTTATGAACCCATTTATTTATTTATTTTTCATTATACAAAGGAGGTGGGTTATAAAACCTATCTCAATCCAATAATTATAATATTAACTTAATTTATTACTATATAATCACTCTTTTTTAATGTAATTATTATTATTAATTACATTTTTACATGTTTGTATGTCTTGTATGTTATATTTTTTAAATGTTTATGAATCATAGGATTCACTATACTAAACATAAGCTCTGTGATACACGATATGATTCACGATTTAGCTACCATCCTCTAATACTATATTAGAAAGTCAATTTAAACTTAACTTATTCTTTCAAAACCCGCTTATAAGAGGAGATTTGTCCTACTTATACTATATATTGGCCTTATTTCATGGATGTGGAATCTCCAATAGTTTTATTTTTTTCTGCTGTGTCTTTTAGCTAAATTTCATGTATTTTTTTTCTAGTATCATGATGTGTACATAGCAAATGTGTTAACTAAGCTTTTCCACAGGTCAAACATATTCCTCAAAGGGGGTGGAATTCTACAGTTTTGTGGTTTTCCTTTATATCATTGTTTGCTAAGAATGATATGGGTGTTCCGTTGAGATTAAATTTTCGACCAGGATCGTGTTTTGTTGACATCTGTTGTGCTAATGATGGAGGATGTGCACTATGGAGAGCCAATCCTGCTCAGGGCGAAAATGATGTAGGATTCATTGACTCAGAGGTTAACAATCAATCCTTCAAGAGGACTTTCTACCTTGTGAACAAAAAGAACGACTCTGCTATTGCTTTTGTAGATGGTGCTTTAGAGTTTGTCAAGAAGCCTGGAAATCCAATCAAGTTCAAAATTTTTAATCATATTACTGCTGCTCATAGTGCTTCGGAGATAGCTAGTTATCCTAGAATGGCTACGGAAACTACTCTATACACAGATGAAGAAAGTACTTCCTGGCAGGGTGGAAAACTTCCTTGTATTGATATTAAAGTTGAAAAAGTTTCTCTGAATATTGTTCATGAACTTTCAGATACGGAGTATCTCTTCCCTCTCATTTGCTTGCTCCTGAACAGTACACAACTCAATATACAAACATTAGCAAAGAAATCCAGGGTCATTGGCACATCATGTGCAGAAGCGCATTATTTTGATGTTGAAAGAAACTTATGGTTAGTTTAAATTCTCATTTGAAATGTTCACTCCTGTACACAGTTTTTACACATTTAAATTGAACTACATTCGTGATATTACTTAATTTTTTTAAAAATTTAGGGGAGAACTTCTCCGTCCTGTGGAAATTTGCCTTTTTTACCGATCTAACATGGAAGCTCAGCTTTCAGAAAATAGATCTCATGCTGTGCCTGTTAATTACTTCTGCAGAATGAAAGAGGTTGTTAGAGTTATATCTGTCTTTTGTTTCTTCATTTTCATTTTGACATTATATCTTCATTTCTAAAATTTATTGATCATCTGGACAGCTGGATGTTTTCTTGAATGAGAATTCATTGGACGTGCTTCTCTTTTTGATTGGGAAATTGAATCTATCTGGTCCTTACTCACTCCGAAACTCCATCATTCAAGCTAACTGCTGCAAGGTTCTAGCTATGGTGCTTCAACTTGTTTTTACCATTATTTAGAAACAAGTGAACCTAATAAATGATCTTTCATTTTCAATTTTTTCTTAAGCTCGTAATTCTTGGCGTGAGATTCTCTTTTTTTATATCTGGTTTACCTTATGCCAAATAAAATAATGTTTTAGGCTCTTCCAAATTAGTTGTGCAATTGATATAATTATGATCTACTAATAATAATTGCTAGATGGCAGGTGGAAAATGAAACAGGCTTAAATCTTCATGTTCACTTTGACCAGCAAAGTATTATAATACCCAGAAAGCAATCTGCGTCTATTCTATTAAGGTATGNTCAAGGATATTTTTCTCTATTGACAGGCTGTGACAGGTTTGTCTGCTGTGGTATGTTATCTGTTTAGTAGTAGCTCTGGTGATACTGGTTTCGTGTATCCTGAAATTATGAAACAAGAATCATTGTTTGCAGCACCTGATAGAAGTGAGACAACTACCACAAGGGCTTTATTGACAAATAATGTCTGCCCTTTTTTTATTGATGTGACTTGCAGATTCAAGTCTATGGAGATTGTTCTTCATAATTCTAGGACAAGTGATGGTTTAGAGAGTTTTGCCACTATTTTTCACTCTTTAACTGGCAACAAAATGGCTGTGCATAAGTTGCCTGAGCATGGAATTTGGATGTTGGTTCAAAACACAACTGTTGTAATATCTTGCGAAGAAGGGAAAATGGATCTCCTGACTGATTTATCAGGAATCCTTTCTTTCGTTTTTGAATATCAGAGTTCAATTGGAACCAACATAGATCATATTGTTCCTGAAAGTTTACTGCTGCAGTCTATTAATTGCTTACATGAAGTATCTCTTTCTGGTTTCTCGTTTACTTTGAGCTTGGGTCTTGTTCAAAATGCTCTATCTTCAGGTAATGCAGGAAAAACATTTGGTAGTTCTAATGGAAATTCTTCTTACTTTGTACGTGAAACTAATTTGACAGCCTTTGAAAGGTCAAGTAATCTATCTCCCCAATCAATTCTCAAAATGGGGTCTCCATCAAATACCTGTGTGCCAGCTTCAACAAATCACTGGTTACTAATAGATGTTGCAGTAACTAGTATATTCATAGGGAGATGCTCACTGAAAAGTGAACTGATTCAAGCACATAAACTGAACAAGCTTTTGTCTTTGCTTTCAATTGGAGGAGAATTTCATATTATATCCTGGGAGATTCAGGTAATTATTTAAGGAGCTAGAAAGGGAAATGTAATCTTGAAGGCATGTTCCTGCATCTTTTATTTGCGCTTTCTGTTATAAATTGAATGGCAAGGACTTTATCTTTTTTACAGATGAAGCTATTTTCTTTGTCAGGATTTAAGGCATACAACTTGTCATACTAAAATTTTAATGTTATTCAACAGGGTGGATTCTTTTTGCTTGAAACAACATCTTTACCAATGGCCATTGATAGCTATTCTTCATATCTTTGTTATATTGGGAATCTCACTTCTGATGCAAAGCTACCTAAAACTGGCACCAAGTGGGAACAGAATGTCAGAGAGAACTATACTTCACATGATGTTATTGATCGAGGAGCTATTAGCACTTCTCAACAAGCTGCAAGTAGATTGCCAGAAGCATGTGACTTTTCTTTGTCTCACTTTACTTTTGTTTTAGCACATGAAAATGAATCTGGTACATAACCTCTTCTCTAGTTTTGTTGTGTAACTGTATTTTTCTTTCCCAAATATAATACAATTCAGTGCTGCAGGTTGTATCCAAGAAATTGTAGTAGAGGTTGACATCCATATGAATTTTGCTTTGGCAATTACTGGGATGAAATTAACAATTGACCTTTCTCGTTTATCAATTCTATCTCAAACTATTCAGAGGAGAGTGGAAGATGAAGCAGCAATTCCACATTTTTCTTCTGTCACATCAAAAGATTTGCCACCTCTGCATGCTTCCGGAAATCCTCTTTCAGGATTTCAGAATTTTGGTCAATTGAACTCAATTAGTGATGCAAGTTGTTCAAAAAACACTCTTCCTATTCAGGTTATTAGTCATCAGAACCAAATTTTGAAAAACTTAAGAGCTTTCCTGTCGCTGGAGAGGCCAGATAATGGTGTTATGCTTTTTTCCCGGTGTTGGTTTGGCATTGGTTCTCTTTTAGGTTTTGATATCACACTTTCTATAGCTGAAATTCAGGTGAACTTTCTAATTATTCTTTATTTTTATTAAATATTCAGTTCATTGTCCCTGCTGCTTTGTTTTTCAATCAAATTTAGCGGCCTTTTGTCATTGCTGCATGTACTGATACTAATGTTACATTTGTTCTAACTTATATTTTGTCATGACAATATGGCAGACAATTATGTCAATGTCCTCCTCACTCTCTGAGATATCTAGTCAGAATACAATAAAAAAATTGGAGAAAAATGATTGGTCTTCTAGCCATGAAGTTGACAATTGTTTGGAAGCAATGATTCCTGATGGTACTCAGGCTCAGCTATATGTTATCTGTTTATAGTCTTTCGTGAAATTTCAATTGTAATTAGCAATGATTGTGTGTAGGGGCAATTGTTGCTATCCAGGATGTCAACCAACACATGTATTTTACAGTTGAAGGTGAAGAAAAGACTTTCAGAGTAGGTGGTGTCATTCATTATTCTCTGGTAGGAGAAAGGGCTCTTTTCAGGGTAAGAATTATGTTTAAAATATCTTTCTATTTTCTTTTAATTCATTTTTCAATCTTCTGTTCTATCTCTTAGTTGCTATAAATTTTGCAGATCTTCCTATTTCAATTATAATAATATATTATAATTTTGCCATCTCAAAATTTAAAAAGAATAATATATTTCTTTCTATATTTCAATAATGAGGTCATTGGACCTATATATACGTGAGCCTGGTGTTTATTTTCGTAAATATAGAGTTAATTTTAAGGAAGCAAATCTCTGTAATTATGGGATTGTTTTTAAATACATAATCCTAGTTTTAATAGCAAGATACACTTGTAATAAAGATTTAAAATATGGCAAGGATAAAATAGCAAGTTAAATACTAAGATTTTGTCAATGTTTCTGTTGTTGCTAGTTGACTTACGTACTCCCCTATTTTGTTGGGGTCCTTGGATTCTAACATATACAAACTCTGCTCTTTAGCAATTAAAATGATCTTCCTTGTGATAAAGTCCTGAAAGACATGGTAAGAGAAGAAAAACACTAGTAAAAGTTCAAGTCTTTTGTAAGGATTTGTATAGAGATAAGACTATTGGTCAGTGTTGGGACATATAAAACACCCTTTAATTTAATAAATGATTCTAACATTATATTCCTGATTCACCATATGTATGCTATCACCATTTACAAATGTAATGAGTTGTTTTCTATTTGTTTTAATGTATGAATTGAAAAAATAGGAAACAATCATTTGATGAATGGTTCTTGAATCAACTATCCAAACACCCTAAGATACTTGCCCAACTGTATTGAATGAATTCTTATCTTTGATGGACTTAATTGTTCATTTATTGTTTTCAAACGATCAAGCTCCTACTTATAGGGTCTCGTTTCAAGTTTTCGTGGAGGTAGAATAGTGGGTTGATTTGTTTTTCATGCTCTAAGGTAGTATTGCTTGTCCGTTTTTGTTATGTTCCTTTGTTTCCTTCTATTCACTCCAATCACACCAGACATGGTTTTGGAAGGTTAAGTTTATTACAATCTTAAAAAAATTAAAGGAGATCATATATTGTTCATTTAATAGTCAACATCAACAGGAGTGAAAATGCTGTGTATGTAGAATTGTTCTAAATTTTATGATGCCTTTTTTCAAATTGAAAATAGAATTGACCATATTTTTACCTTATTTTGGTTGGAAATCTATTAACTTCGTCAAGCTTTTCTTGTGATAAAACATTCCTCAAATTAAATTGTTCTAATTCCAAGCAATAAACGTTGAGGATTACAAAACAAATTAGGCTTGGTTGGCTGGCTGGCATGCTATGAATTTGACAGGACAAGGTAGCATTTTCAGCTCGCCCTGCCTAACCCATTTACATATTTAAAATTTTTTTATATTATATGTAGAATATTAAAATTGACTTTCAAAAATCAAATAAAAAAAAGACTAATTTACGATTACAATTTTGTGTGTTGCCTGAAGGATGCAAACAAGCAATGACATTTAATTTAAATCATGAACACTTTTAAATTAAGTTTCAGTATTGATTATAATCGAGTTATTTGACTAGTAAAAGCAACCATCCTTTCAATTCATCCAATTAGAGATAGTAATTAACTAGTTAAAGATTCAAAAAATATTCACCATGTTAAAATGATTAGTAAGAAACAAGTCAAAAGGGGCACTACCGTGGTACCATGTTGACAAGAGAGAAAACGAGAAGAAATATAATGAATTTCATGGGTGGTACACATGAAAATTCTTAATTTGATGAAAAAGAAATGACAAGGAACAAAATCACTATGTTATGATGGAAAATATATTTTAAAATATTTCCCAATCAAATTGAGTCAATACACAAATAGGTCCCTGAAAGATGAGTGTGTAGGTTGATAGATCCCTAATTAAAATTTTCATGTAAATGAGTTATTGAAAAATTCATTTGCCTGCATTGAACTAGAACATTAATGTGGTTCAATTTCAAGTAGGTGTTTTTTGAAATAATCTATTTTCATCGAGAGGATGAAGTTGGAAAACAAACTCTAAATAATGAATGCTTCCACTCTTGCTTGTGAACTACAATGTAGGTTGTTATAAGAAAGTGAGTTTAAGTTTAACTCATCCTTGTAAAGGATGACTTGTAAGGCGAGGTTTGCCTCACATGTACACTATTAATTGGTTTATTTGTAATTGATATGAGATCTCCAACACATCCTCTGTCACGTCGAGGCATGGACATCTTGTATGTGAGACTAGATATTTGTGGGTAGTTCGATAGTAGGTAGTACGATATGCCTAAGAAATTTTGCTAGGATAGATTCCAATATAGTGTAGTAAGTATCGTATGACTCAAGATACAAATTAAACAATACGAATAGTAAGGTGTATCATTTTTGCTTCCGAATCATACTCGAATTGTACTATACAAGTGTGAATCGAATGAATCTTGATTTGAGATACGGATCTACCCTCAATGTGAAACCCTAATTTTTTTTGCTTTTTTTTTGTGCCTTGAAACTTTTTAATGTTGGTCTCTGTTCGCGGTGCCTCTTGCTACCTCGCGGTGTAGTCCTTCCCAGGGACGAAGGAGAAGAAGCTAACAGACCTTGTGGCGGCGACTCAAAGCAATGGCGATTCTTTGGGTCTCAAGGCATCAACGTGGCTGCCATGACCTGACCTTTTGCGTTTGTGGTTAAAGAGAGACAAGCTAGGGTGTCTGAGTGGGTTGAAAATAGAGATGTTTTTAACCTAAAAGTTTAGCCCATTTAAAGCTATCAAAAGCCAATTACTAAAGTAACTCTCTAAAATTGTAGCACACCCAAAAGGAAAAAAGGTGATTATCAAAACCGTCATTGCACACAAAAAAGTTATTCTTTTGGAGTCAAATATATATGAACCCATTTATTTATTTATTTTTCATTATACAAAGGAGGTGGGTTATAAAACCTATCTCAATCCAATAATTATAATATTAACTTAATTTATTACTATATAATCACTCTTTTTTAATGTAATTATTATTATTAATTACATTTTTACATGTTTGTATGTCTTGTATGTTATATTTTTTAAATGTTTATGAATCATAGGATTCACTATACTAAACATAAGCTCTGTGATACACGATATGATTCACGATTTAGCTACCATCCTCTAATACTATATTAGAAAGTCAATTTAAACTTAACTTATTCTTACAAAACCAGCTTATAAGAGGAGATTTGTCCTACTTATACTATATATTGACCTTATTTCATGGATGTGGAATCTCCAATAGTTTTATTTTTTTCTGCTGTGTCTTTTAGCTAAATTTCATGTATTTTTTTTCTAGTATCATGATGTGTACATAGCAAATGTGTTAACTAAGCTTTTCCACAGGTCAAACATATTCCTCAAAGGGGGTGGAATTCTACAGTTTTGTGGTTTTCCTTTATATCATTGTTTGCTAAGAATGATATGGGTGTTCCGTTGAGATTAAATTTTCGACCAGGATCGTGTTTTGTTGACATCTGTTGTGCTAATGATGGAGGATGTGCACTATGGAGAGCCAATCCTGCTCAGGGCGAAAATGATGTAGGATTCATTGACTCAGAGGTTAACAATCAATCCTTCAAGAGGACTTTCTACCTTGTGAACAAAAAGAACGACTCTGCTATTGCTTTTGTAGATGGTGCTTTAGAGTTTGTCAAGAAGCCTGGAAATCCAATCAAGTTCAAAATTTTTAATAATATTACTGCTGCTCATAGTGCTTCGGAGATAGCTAGTTATCCTAGAATGGCTACGGAAACTACTCTATACACAGATGAAGAAAGTACTTCCTGGCAGGGTGGAAAACTTCCTTGTATTGATATTAAAGTTGAAAAAGTTTCTCTGAATATTGTTCATGAACTTTCAGATACGGAGTATCTCTTCCCTCTCATTTGCTTGCTCCTGAACAGTACACAACTCAATATACAAACATTAGCAAAGAAATCCAGGGTCATTGGCACATCATGTGCAGAAGCGCATTATTTTGATGTTGAAAGAAACTTATGGTTAGTTTAAATTCTCATTTGAAATGTTCACTCCTGTACACAGTTTTTACACATTTAAATTGAACTACATTCGTGATATTACTTAATTTTTTTAAAAATTTAGGGGAGAACTTCTCCGTCCTGTGGAAATTTGCCTTTTTTACCGATCTAACATGGAAGCTCAGCTTTCAGAAAATAGATCTCATGCTGTGCCTGTTAATTACTTCTGCAGAATGAAAGAGGTTGTTAGAGTTATATCTGTCTTTTGTTTCTTCATTTTCATTTTGACATTATATCTTCATTTCTAAAATTTATTGATCATCTGGACAGCTGGATGTTTTCTTGAATGAGAATTCATTGGACGTGCTTCTCTTTTTGATTGGGAAATTGAATCTATCTGGTCCTTACTCACTCCGAAACTCCATCATTCAAGCTAACTGCTGCAAGGTTCTAGCTATGGTGCTTCAACTTGTTTTTACCATTATTTAGAAACAAGTGAACCTAATAAATGATCTTTCATTTTCAATTTTTTCTTAAGCTCGTAATTCTTGGCGTGAGATTCTCTTTTTTTATATCTGGTTTACCTTATGCCAAATAAAATAATGTTTTAGGCTCTTCCAAATTAGTAGTGCAATTGATATAATTATGATCTACTAATAATAATTGCTAGATGGCAGGTGGAAAATGAAACAGGCTTAAATCTTCATGTTCACTTTGACCAGCAAAGTATTATAATACCCAGAAAGCAATCTGCGTCTATTCTATTAAGGTATG